TAATAAAGTTTTTAGTAATATAATGATATTACTGATAAGTGTTTAATTAGTTAAATATAATAAAGTTTTTAATAATATAATGATATTACTGATAAGTGCTTGATTACTTAAATATAACAAAATGATAGAATATATAATTTAACATTATGATATTTAAAATTTTCATTTTACTATTATCATTATATATATATAATTATATTAAAACTTGTAGAAAATTGTTTTCTAATAAAATATTGATTTTATAATTATTACTTTTACATTTCATAATTAATAATAATTAATAAAATTAAATTTGCATTAATTTAAAATTTATATAATTACAGTTAAATATAAAATTATATTTTCGTCGCTCATATGGTTTCTATCTGTTACAAATTTACCTTCCAACTTATTGTATGGTACTCATTTCATGGATATCATTTTGGTTGGATCGTCGATCATTACCCGCACGGGTAACTGTTGGCGTTTCATCAATGATGGCACTTACTTTACAATATTCAAATGTTGCAAGGACACTTCCAAAGGTTTAATCATCATAACACTAAATTTTTTTTTTTTTTTAATTTAATTCTATCACAAAATTTTGCTCTATTAATAATTTAAAATTTAATTTTAATTAAACATTGAAAAAAAAATTTGCGTATTTGATTTTGAAAGTTTCAAATAAGACAAAATAATTGTATTAAAGTTTCTCTATATGTAATCAAAAGTTTACTTTGATTTTTTAGCAAAAAAGTTTTAGAATAAATTTCAAATGTTACCAACTTTCTTAACTTATATTTCTGTGTGATATTTTTTGTTTGAAAATTGAAATCAAAATTTGCATATTTTAATTTTTGAACAGAAGTTTACTTTACTTTAATTTGTTAAAAGAAAAAAAAAACTTTTAAAATAAACTTAGGATAATAAACTATCAACAATTTTTCTTAACTTATATTTTTCCGTATGGTACTTCTTTAGATATTTGATATTTTATAAACTTTATTTTCAGGTTTCATATGTGAAAGGTTTGGATTTATTTATGTTCGGTTGTGTTGGATATATTTTTTTATCAATTGTTGAATTAGCTATTGTTGGAATGTTAGAAAAGTCGAATACGTCAAGGAGTCGTGGAAGTGCTGAAACTGATATTATTAATACAACTAGTTTACTTTTAAATGAAACTCGATCAAGTAAACGATTATTCAGGGAAGGACGAAGACGAAAGGTTCTATAATATAATAATTATTCATTTTTTTGCTTATTTAAATTTTAAATTTATTATAATCTTTTTTCTTTCCTCCATTAAATGATCAAATTTTGATAAAAATATATCAGTTAGTGTTCAAATGTAATAAAATACTATCAAACAAAAGAAAATTAACAATAAAATAAAATAAAAACTAGTAATTATAACATTCGTATAATACTGATTAAAATAAAATTAAGTCAAAAGAAAAAATTCATATAATATTGATTAAAATAAAAAATGAAACTTTTAGTTACCACTAACTGAACAAGTTGACGAAGATAAACGATTAACCGGAAAAGTTGACATTGATCTGAATGATAGTTTATGGACACGTAATGCGGCAACATTTGCCGAATACGGTGAACGAAATCCAACATCAACAATTCGACATCCGGAAATAATGAAATTAAATGAATACAGTATGTCTTTTAATTCATGCTTCTTTATTGTTGTAGAAAATATCATTCATTTGAAATTCATTTCGGAAAGTTTTTTATAATTTAATTTATTCTGCTTAATTAAATTTTGCATTCATTTTATAATCAAATTTAATTTGTTCATTCAAATTTTTGTATTTATAATAATTTGGATTCTAGGATAAACTGCAATTATTAGTAGATTTATTAAAATATTTTATGAAAATAAAACAAATAGTTATTCGTTTAAAAATTTGCAAATTTTTTTATAAATTTTTAAAAAACACATAGATAAATATAAAAAAGAAAAATTCCCATTATTCATAGCATTCAAAAATTTAATAATTTGAATTTAAATTTTAACATTATCTTAATTGTAGTTGGAATGTTACCTGCTGTACTTCTGATTCATATTTATTGATATTTATGTATAAATATTTGTAATGCTATAAAAATATTAGTAATATAATAATAATAACAATGATAATAATATTAGTAATAATAAAAATAATAATGATAATAATAATAATAATAATGATAATAGTAATAATAATAATAATAATAATAATGATAATAATAATAATAATAATAATAATAATAATAATAATAATAATAATAATAATAATAATAATAATAATGATAATAGTAATAATAATTTATTGATGTTGCACAAGTATTGTTATACCATAAATAGTAATAATAATAAATATTTAATAGTAACAATAATAAATAATAATGATAAAAAAATAAGTAAAATTATAATTTAGATGGTGAAAATACGAATCGTTACTTTCCCTATCGAATAACCGAAGAAGCAAGAAGTGATAGTAAACATCGACGAAAAAAGCACAACAATGAGCGAAGATTTTTAAGACATTGGACTGGTGAAGATATGGATAAGTAAGTATTATTATTATTTACTTTTATAAAATTAATTTAATTAAAATAATTAAATTTTCATGGAATCAACTTTTTCTTTTTCATTTATTTATAACAGAATTACGTAAATTGTAGATCCGATATATATTTTTTTGAAAAGAAAAACTAATTTTCTAAGAAATTTATAAAGTAAAAATTATTGTAAATCAAATATTTGATGTTTAATTTTAGTATTATTATTATAATACATTTTAATTTTTATTGATAACATTTTAATTTTATAATTTCAGTTTATGTCAAAAAGCATTTCCAGTTTCATTTGCATTGTTGAATATGGTATATTGGACGTATTATACTGCACGAGCAAATGATTAATTAGCTAATTAAAATTTAGCTATAAAATTTTATTTATCCAATTCTAAGATTTAATATTAAATTTGAATAGTTATATACGGAAGAAAATATTTTAATTAATAAAAAATTTATCAAATGATTTTCCACCAATTATCATCTCTTATCCATATCAGTGTTTATGAGATAATTTAAAAAAAAAAGGAGGAAAAGTTTCTTAAATATTTTATTTACTGGAAGAAGAAGGATGCTCAATTTATTTATTTATTTATTTTGATGTTTTTTACCGTTTGAAATTGTATAATGCATTTTTTTTTGTTTTGTTTGTCAACAAATTAATTGAATTACTTATATGAACTGCTCACTAACTTCATATTTTTTTATGTGTTGTTGGTGTAATTTCATTTGATTTTAATCATATTTCTTTAAAATATTTAAGAGCAAAAAAAAATTAATTAATTAATTAAATATTTGAAAGCAAAAAGAAAAAAAACGAACAAAGAACAAAAAGAAAATGAAATAAAAATTTTATACATTTCACTTTTTTCATTCATTTTTCTTATCCAAAATACATGTATATACATATGTATAATAAAAAAAATTCCTAATTTTTTTGCTTTTTTTTTGGCCTTTTAAAAAATTTGATATTTGTTTACAAATTATTGAAATAAAAATGCTTACATAATATCAATGAACATTACCATATATTTACATTTAATTTAAAACAATAAATACTTGATGATTAATTTAGCTGTATATAAAATATTGAGCTAATAAATTCTATATTTAATTTAAAACAATAAATTTGATAAAATAATTGATGATTAATTTAGCTGTATATAAAATATTGAGCTAATAAATTCTATATTTAATTTAAAACAATAAATACTTGATGATTAATTTAGCTGTATATAAAATATTGAGCTAATAAATTCTATATTTAATTTAAAACAATAAATACTTGATGATTAATTTAGCTGTATATAAAATATTGAGCTAATAAATTCTATATTTAATTTAAAACAATAAATACTTGATGATTAATTTAGCTGTATATAAAATATTGAGCTAATAAATTCTATATTTAATTTAAAACAATAAATACTTGATGATTAATTTAGCTGTATATAAAATATTGAGCTAATAAATTCTATATTTAATTTAAAACAATAAATACTTGATGATTAATTTAGCTGTATATAAAATACTGAGCCAATAAATTTGCTCAATTATTAATCAGCAATGAATAATTTCCCTTTTTTTTTTTAATATTTAAATTTTATTAAATTTAAAATAATAGAAAAAATTATGTGCTACAGTGGTGACAATGACAAAAAGCATTCCTATGCAAATTGATGGAATATGTGGACTGTGCCAATTATCTATTAATAAAGTTTCTGATTCAATTATTTCATCCATATTTGATGACATTTCAGTTTGAAATTGAACATTTGATTGAGTGATTTCCTCTACGGTTGATATTTCAGATTGAAATTGAACAGCATTTTTGCAAACATTTGAATGAACTGCAAAAATAAATGAGAAGTTGAAAGTATTGCAAATGATTAAAATTGATTAAAACAAAAACATTTTTTTAATGATAAGTATTTGATAAATTTAAATTTAAAAAAAAAAAAATTTATTTCATATTTAATGAACTAATTTTATTGGGTTTTTATCATTAATTGCTCATATATTCATTCATAAATTTTGTTTATCTTTAAATTTTGTTTACCTTTGTCTTTATCATTAATAAATTCAAATTAATAATCATGTTTCAATGACCTGAAATGTTTGATAAATTTAAATTTTGAAAAGGAAAAAAAATCCATTCCTATTTGATGAGTAAATTTTATTGTTCTTTGTTTCACTTTAATAAATTCAAATTAATAATCATCTTTCAGTGACCTGAAATGTTTAATAAATTTAAATTAAAAAAAAAATCCGTTTCATATTTGATAAGCAAATTTTACTGTTCTTTATCATCAATTGCTAATATAACTGATTAATAAATTATCAAAAAAATAAAAAGTATTACTTTAACTGCAATTAATTCTTTTATTACTCAAATATTAAAAAAAAAGGTTTAATTATTTTTTGAAATATTATTCATAGATTTTGTTTCACTTTAATAAATTCAAATTAATAATTATACCAATAGCTCTTTCATCTTCATCACTGTCTAATTTCATTCCTAATTTAGCAGCATCACGTAGTACACGTTTCCAAATTTTTTCATAATTATACGAACTTATTCTTGGATTAATCATTTCACGTAATGATTTCAAAAGTGTCATTTCTTCCTTATTCAATACCTAAATAATAAATTTTTTACGCTATTACTGTTTTTTTTTTTTTTTGTTTTTATTATTAAGTATGATATAACTGATTAATAAATTTTCAAAAAATAAAAAGTATCATTTTAAGTGCAATTAATTCTTTTATTATTCAAATATTAGAAAAAAGATTTAATTATTTTTTGAAATATTATCAATATTAATTACAATTAATTAGACAATCTAGCAAGAAAGTAATCAAATAAAACTAAAGCTTAGTGTAAACATATCGGTTTAAAGCCTTAAACACTGATAACTATCAGTTAAAATACTAAATCTTATCAGTTTTAATTTAAAAAAAATTTTTTTTTGTTAAGCATACCTTAGCTTTATTAGTTCCATCACAAAATGCTTCTCGTATTTTTGGTTGTTGTAACCATTTGACAATCTCTTTGTACTGTAAAATATCCACCATTCTTTTTGTAAATTCTTTCTGATCATTCTACAAATGAATTAATTTTCAAATTTTAATTGAAATCAATTAATCGCTTACTAAATTAATATTTTGATGAATGAATCATAAATTGATAGAATTTTAGCTTTCTTTTTTCTAATTTTTAGATTATATATGAGTAAGTATAATTTCATTGTATAAATTGATTGTTTGAAAAAAAAAAAAAAAAGGAAAAAATAAACATAAAAATATTTTACCTCTCTTTGTTCCACTATCACTTCCTTCAATTTTATCATATCATCATAAAATGCATCAACTAATTCATTCAATAAATCTAATTGAGCTTTTGCTTCAATTAATTTGTAATCAGTACGCACCTAAATAATTTTTTTCTATTAAATAATTATATAAATCAGTAATTAAATACTTTTTTTGCTCCTTATTAAAATAAAATTAAATTTAAAATAATTTAATTACTATTCCATACCACTATAATACTAATTATTGTATCCATTTCATTAATATTTATTGTTTAAGTTTCCTTAATTTTAATTTATTTGTTTTAATTTAATTTTAAATTTTATTTTGGTTTTATTTTAACTTTAAAATTTAATTCATTCATTCAAAAAAAGAAATTTTTTTTCTACTTCATTTCAATTTGTTTCTAAAACATACATAATGCTCAACAAGTGCATTTCCTGATTTCAATTCTTGTCTCCAACGCATTAGTTGCAGCTGAAAAAAAAAACTTTTCTTTTAAAAATAAACAATTTTTTTTTATTTCGATTGAACTCCCGTTAAGGTCAAAGGTTAAAGGTTGAAAAATTGAATATTTCAATTATTATATAGCTCTTTTTTAATATGGTTACTTCTTCGATTTTTTGATTTCATCGTTGATATCTTTGATATCTTCTAGAATCGATTGATAATTTCTAATTGTTATCATTACATATTTTCTCATTTGTTCAGAAAATTATTACAACTTCTACAACTCTACTGATAATTTCAATTCTTGAAATTTTATCTCCAAGAAAATGCTAAAAATTACAAGGAGGAAAAGATTAAATATAAGTAAGTAAATATAAATGAATTAGCAAATAAAGCTAACATATCGCTTCTTCTGACTATTTCGCCTTTTTCGAAGCAGCTCCTCGACTTTATCAAATGGTTTAAATATTTTAATTTCAACTGCTGGATCTGATGATATCATATCAGAGCATTGATTCTCCATTGATATAATATTTACTTCAAACCTGCAATATTCATCGAACAATCATTTTTCAAAAAAAGAATGAAAAAAAGAAAATTTATTGAAAGTAGTGAATTGATAAAAAATGATTTCATTTTTTAAATATAAACGAATTAACGAATTCGTGTGTAACAGCAGTTTTTATGCTATGAATTTACTTAAAAATACAATAGAATGTAGCATTTGAGTCAATTTGAACTTTGACATTTTAATCAAAAACTAATCAAAAGTTGAAATAAGCTGTCGAGAATGATAAAAAAAAAATGTTTGAGAAAAACGAATCAATAAAGTAGAAGCTATCAATGAATTCTCAATAACATAATTATCAGCTTACTATTGCGAATATGAACAAATGTGATCTGAGAAAATTGCGCTGACCTCTCAACTCTTTTATTGATTCAAGTTATTGACCCAAGTTATCGATTCAAGTTATCGCTTCAAGAAAATGTAAGGATTTGATTTTTTGAGTTAGAAAAGAAAAACAATGTATAATAAAAATATTTTACTAATGAATATAAAAGTATAATTAAAGTAAATATTGATTTTATTTGCCCATAACTAATTGTTATACAAAAACTTTCTCCCTGATTAATTAAAAAATAATATCTTACTTAAATTGCTCCTACATTTTTGTAAATTCCAATAAAATAAAACTGAAAAAATTGAAAAAAAAATGTTTAATCAAGAATCTTGATCATTAATTTGATTGATTAGATCAATTAATTAGCTTATTGAATATTTTCCATTTTAGTTCTTACTTAATTCGATAAAAAAACTACGATAACGATGAAATTATTAGCTTAAAGAAATCATTTCTAGATGTTAAGCATTTCAATTTTATTTAATTCTATTATTTTTATCTGTAAACTTTTTTTTTTTCATTTCATTTATTTTTGTCGAACTGAAAATTTATTGCACTGATTGCAGCAAATCAATAAACAAACAAAAAAATCGATCATTTAATTTTTTCTTTTTATCTGTGATCAAATATTTCTTGTATAAAGTTGGCTAATTTATGAAATTTTATTAAAATAGATGAAGCAGAAATTATTTCAAAAATTTAAAATTATTATAAGCTTTTTTTTTTGTTGTTCTGTTTGTGCAATACATAATCATATAGCATTTTGATTTTGTTTTTATTTTATATTTAAAATCAAATCAAAAAAAAAATTGCCTCTTAAGCATTATAAAATAATCGATCGATCGATCAATCGATCAATCAATCAATCACTACCGAATAGTAAATTATAAAAAAAATGATCAGTTTTGAATTTGCAACAATTATGTTGGAATATTATCAATGTTTAGCCAAGGAAACTAAAAAAACTAAGCAAACTTGTAAAATAATTTAAATGGAACAAAGCAAAATAATTTATTGAAGAGAAAACAATTGAAATATGTCAATTAATGAAAAGCTATTTGGATAAAGTAAAATTTTAAGTTAAATTTAAAAAGTAAAGAAAGTAGATGTTGTCACAAATGAGTACATATATATGTATAATATGAAATAAAGCGAAATGAAATCATTTCAAATTTGATAAAATATAATCAATTCTGATAACTTTTTTTTCAATTCATTGCAAATATATTGAATTAATAAAAGAAATAACGAAAAAAGTTGTTTTTATTAAATTTAAAAATTTTTATGAAATTATATTTTTCAAAAAAATGATTTGCACATTTTGTAAGCTACAATACCAACAAATAATCCAATACAAAGCGATGAAATGTGAAATTGGCATGAAAAATTCAATTGAATATCATTTTTTCCATTAACTGATAACTGATAATTATCATTAACTGATAATTTTGCTGATTGGTTACTTTTTGAGTTTGATATTTCCTTATCATACGTTGTCGTATTTTGTTGAGCATTTAAATTAGCTATAAAACAAGGAAAATAAAAATAGAAAAAAAAAAACAATAACGAGAATAAAAAGTAATTATTCTGTTAAAAATTAAATACCTAAAATTAAGCTAAATGCTTTATCATTTGAAATTGCTTAAGAATGATTAATTAATTAATTAATTAAGAGTATTATCGAATTATTACGGATAAATGAAATTTAAAATTTTTTAAACATTTATATTGTTAAAAGAATTTAGAAAAAAAAAAGGAAATGCTGCAAATTTTAAATAATATTTTATTATAATTTCAATTTTAATTAATGCAAAAATTTCTAGCAAATTTTAGCAAAATTATTACATTTGACATTACATTCACCTACAATTTACAATTTATTCGTAAGGTTTTTTTTTTTTTTTTTAAAAAAAAGTTTTAAAAATATTTTTTAAACAAAATTACGTACTATTAATTGTTGTCACTTGTTGTCCACTATTTGTTGATAACGATTCATTGTTAGTTTTTAATATTTTATTATCATTGCAATAATTTGGCTAAAAATATTTAACTAATAAAAAAAAAAAACATAATTTTAAATTCAGGTGACAATTTTTTTTTTTTTTTGTAAAGTAAAATGGAAAATTAGCTAACCTTTTTAAGAATTTTATAATTTTCATCTGTAAAATTCATTGTATTAGAATATTTATCAATTTGATCAACATTGCTATCTGTGTCAATGGAACTACAATCCGATTTGCTACTACTGCTACTACTACCAATAGCAAAACATGAAGCAGAATTAGTAACAGCCTAAATTTAACTTTTAATTTGTAAAATTTTACCACTAAAATGAGACAAATGTGTATAAAATTTGATAATTTAATGATTTGAAATTTTGAAAATTTATCAATTTGTGAATTTTTATCATTAAAGTGAAGCAAATATGTGTAAAATTTGATATTTTAACAATTTTAAAAATTTAAAATTTATCAATTTGTAAAATTTTACCACTAGAATGACAAAAAGTTTGAAAATAATTAAATGATTTGAAATTTTTAAAATAAATTAAATTACTCGTGCTGGTGCTATAAATGACATTTGTTGAATGACAATCATATTTTCCAACCAAGATGGCATATTCGCTAATAGTTGACAATTTCGAATACTGTCAAGCAAGCATTTGATATCATGACCTTGAAATTATCATTTTATAACTTAGCATTTTCAAATTTTATACAATTTCACGTATTTTTCCACGTAATTTCACGTAAAAATGTAGCATTTTTTTAAAAAAATTTTATATTAAAAAAAATTTTTTTTTTAGAGCATCAAAAAATAAAGCAAAAGTCAGACATGTAATTATCAGAAAGATGAATAAAAATTTTTCATTTCTTAAATTTTACAATTTGTTTTATTTAGTTAACTAAAAATATTGTTTATTGTTATTTACAAATAATAAAAGTAAATTTTAGTAAATTCAAATTTGTCAATTCTCACCTGTATAATGATCAATAATCCGAAATGATGAATCTTTTATCACTTTTATTCCATTTTCGAAAGCAATTTTTAATTTCCTACTACGAATTTTGTTATTTTCTTTGAAATTTATCGTCGGATTTATTAGCAAATGTAGCAAATTCAAAAGTGTAAGTTCTTGTCCGTTTAATTTCTATTAAAAAATTGATAAAAATTATTTTTAATCAATAAAATTACAACAAATTCATTAAATTTAATCATTTTAGTTTCAGGAAGAAGTGAAAATTTTATAAAAAATTATATATCAATTAGTATTCTTATGATTTTACACTATTCAATTTCAAAAATGGAATATACTAGGACAAAACCGCCTTTTTTTTTTGGTGACAAAATCGCTTTTTCATTTTTTTTTCCTGATGACAAAATTGCTTGTTTTTCTTGTTTGATAGTATCGATGTCAGGAAAAGGAAAAGGATTTAAGCTGAATTTTGAAATGTTTTTTGCTAAATTTTATCATTTGTAGTTTTGAACAAGAAAAACGTAATTCAAACGTACTATTGCGCCATTTGTTCCGGATGTAAGCGAATAGCTAATTTCCGGAATTTGCGTATTAGCGATAATTTCTTTATATTCTAGTAAAGCAATCATTTGATCTATAAATTGCTTTCGATCTCTCTGTAAAGCATTAAATTATTTTTAACTTTATGTTATTATTTATACTTTTCTAGAAAATATTAAAAACTTAATTTAATGATAATAATTATTTATAAAAAATAATTATAAATGAAAAATGATAATGCTTCTTTTTTATCATCTAAAAAAGTTATAGTAGTAAAATTTTATTGCAAGAATTTCATTACTAAAAAAATTTAAATCATACAAGCATTATCTTATTCATTAGCAAATTAAAAGAAAAAAAAATTAAAATAAAATAAACATAATTAAAAACCTGTTTTTGCTTAATTAAAGCTTTTTTTCTAATTGTCATTTCAGATAAATAAACATTCAATACATTATTTAGAGCATCAAGTTGATTCATTATCATCGTTATCACCTAAACAAAATTGTTATCAAAAAGTTTCAACTATTATTATCATTGAAATAAAAAAATGAAAGTAAAGAAGAAATTAATTTTCAAGTTGATTCATTATCATCGTTATCACCTAAGGAAAATTGTTATCAAAAAGTTTCAACTATTATTATCATTGAAATAAAAAAATGAAAGTAAAGAAGAAATTAATTTTCAAGTTGATTCATTATCATCGTTATCACCTAAACAAAATTGTTATCAAAAAGTTTCAACTATTATTATTATTGAAATAAAAAAATGAAAGTAAAGAAGAAATTAATTTTCAAGTTGATTCATTATCATCGTTATCACCTAAACAAAATTGTTATCAAAAAGTTTCAACTATTATTATCATTGAAATAAAAAAATGAAAGTAAAGAAGAAATTAATTTTCAAGTTGATTCATTATCATCGTTATCACCTAAAGAAAATTGTTATCAAAAAGTTTCAACTATTATTATTATTGAAATAAAAAAATGAAAGTAAAGAAGAAATTAATTTTCAAGTTGATTCATTATCATCGTTATCACCTAAACAAAATTGTTATCAAAAAGTTTCAACTATTATTATTATTGAAATAAAAAAATGAAAGTAAAGAAGAAATTAATTTTCAAGTTGATTCATTATCATCGTTATCACCTAAAGAAAATTGTTATCAAAAAGTTTCAACTATTATTATCATTGAAATAAAAAAATGAAAGTAAAGAAGAAATTAATTTTTTGTGATAAAGCAAAACCATTTGATTTGCACATGCAATATTTCCAGCACTTAAATGTCTTTGTCCCATTTCTAACATTTCCTGAAAAAAGAAAAAACAAAAAAAGAATTCAGCTAAGAAATATTTTTATGATATATATTTTTTTCATTAATAATTAATTAATTACTTTTTAATAAAAGCAAAAAAAAGGAAGGAAAGATAGTACGTAATGAATTAAATGACTGATAATAATTTAAATTATTTATCAAATATATCATTTAATATCAGTGAAATATGTTTTAGAAAGAAAAAAGTAATAATAATAAGTAATATTGCAATATTTAAATGAACTTTTTTTTTTTGTTAGAAATTTGTTAAAACTAACAATTTGTTCCTTTAAATCTTGAATTTTATCAGTAAGCAACATTTTGATAATATCATTTCCGGAATTCCATTTGGAAATGATATCATCGTAACTTTGTTCTTGCATCTATTTCTGTCTTTTTTTTTCTTTCTTTTTCTTCTTTTTTTGCTTTGAAAATATCTAAAAGAATTATAAATTGAATTAATTAATTAATTACTTGAATAATTTGAATTAATTAATTTAATTAATTATAGTTTTCTTCTGAGAAAGAAATTATAATTTGAACTAATTAATTAATTGAACAATGAATTAATTAATTTAATTAATTACAGTTTGTTTTTTCTGAGAAAAAAATATTGGTAAATAAAAATTAAATTTTTACTTTTATGAATAAAGCAAAATTTAATTTTTTCGCACTGACTAAATGTTTTTAAAGTTTTAAAAAGTTTTTCTTTTTTTTTAGAAGATTTAATAAAAAGTAAACAAAAAGAAAAAAAGTTTAAAAAATTATTTTTTTCATTAACTGATAACATAGAAGAGGGACAATACTTGAATGAATGAAATTATCGAATAATTTAAATTGCAAAACTTATTAACGACTGTTTAGATAGTTTATCGTTTTTTTTTCAAATTTTTGCCAATCAGAATAGAATAATAATTTATCATTTCAAAATATTTGATTAGTTGATAAGATAATTATTAGATAAAATATGAAAGTTATCGATAAAAATATACGATGAAAGAAATAAAAGTTAAACTTATAGCAATCTGAATTTACAGATTTGATCTTTGATTAATATCAGTTTTAAGATCATGATTATCATGATCTGAATAGTGTTTATCACTATAATGATATTTTGATTATTCAAATATTATCTTGCGATCATTGTTCACCACGCTGAATAACTTTCATCGATTTTCTTTAAACTTTTTTTTTGTTAATAAAAAAATTATAAAAAAAACGGAATGATAAAATTTCATAATTGATGAATTGTAAATAACTTTCGATATGCAAATTCGATATAAACTTAAATTTTTTTTTCTTATCAATGCGAAATCATTTCTATATGAATAAATTTGAATTTGAATTGCTATTTTAAAATTTAATTTTTTCAGATTATCTCTGTCATTGCTGTAGCAATAATTACGTTTTATTTCTCTGTTAGTTAAATTCTTCTTTTATTGAGCAAATTTTCATATCATTTCACAACTTTATCAGTGTTGATAACACTGATAATTCTGCATAGTATTGTTTCAGTTAAATTTTGCCAAACAAACAAAAAAAAAAAATTGCTAAAGTGTAATTTTGATGAAAATAACTGTTTCAATAGTTTGTTTCAAATTTAATTTAATGTAATAAAATTATTTAAATCAAATAATTTTTAAGTATTTATTTATACTTGCCACTCAAACATATAAAATATTCAAAGTATGAATAATTTCATTTGAAATAATCATATCCAAAGTGATAAGCAAAAATGAAATGCAAAAAAAAAAAATCTGAGATAATTCAATGAATGAAAAATAAGAAATTAAACGATGAGTTACGCACTTTTTTTTTTCATTCAAATCAGATAAATGTAAACAATTAAGTAAAAATTAAATAATTATAAAAATTTTATCATGCATTGAAGATAAAATTTTCAGTCATTGCAATGAAAATTTAAAAAGAAAAAACGAAACGAAAAAAAAAATAAATTAAAATTTATTTGAATAAGTAAGCAAGACGAAAAAATAGAGATAATTAGCATTTGAAATGAGTTAAATTAAAAATCACAACGAAGTATTCCTGGTGGTGGTCGTCCAGCTAATTCTGATGGTACATTAACATCTGCAGTGAAACGAGCAGGATAATAATTGAAGCAAAGATAGTAATCTGAAAATTTAATTAATATTTTATTTGATAAATATAAAATTAATATTTTGTTTAAAAGATGTTTCAAAGATTCAAATTAAAAATAAAATTTATATTTTTAATTTATAAAATGTTATTTATTAAATAATTTTATCAAAGAAATAAAAAAAATAAACTAATCTTTTCATAAACACTAATAATTATTTCATTTTTATTTCGCTTTTTTTTTTTTAGAAAAAATGAATTCATATGACTATTTTTTTGTTTTCATTTATTATAATTAAAAAAAAAAAATTTCTAAACATTTTTTCTTCTTTTTTTTAACTATTAATTTTACATTTACGACTTAAATATGCTAATTTCAATCGTAAAAATTAATACTTAGCGCCTTATTGAATAATAAAAAGTAGAAAATTAAAAAATATATTTGAAATTTTAGAAAAAAAAAGAGAAAAGAAAAGTGATATTTTAATTATTAATTAACCATCTGGTTTATTGCTTCTTTTTATGAATTTATAATTTTCTTTTTTTGCTTGTGTATTCTTTTGCTGAGTAGTTGAATTACCTGCAAAAAATATTAAAATATTTTTTTTGCATTTTTGAATAAAATAATTTTTTAATTTTACATTTACAACTCAAATATGCTAATTTCAATCGTAAAAATTAATATTTAGCTTTGATTTTGGTTTTTGTTTGGTTGTTTGTTTACTTGTTTATTTGAAATTCTTTCCATTAATTAAGCTATTATTTTGAAATTAATAAAAATAAAAAAAAAAGAAAAAGTTTACTAGCAGAATTACTGCTTAATCTTTGATCATTATCGTTTGAAGTTTTGATATTTGATTCCATTTCAGGATTAAATTGATAATATGTATGCTAAAAATAAAACATTCATTTTAACATTAAACTTTTTTTTTTTTTTTTAGAATGAAATTTTATATTTAATCTTTTTAAATAAACAAATAAGAAATGAAACCTCATTATTATAATAAGGATATGGATATGATCCCAAAATTGGAAATGAGCTTTCATTAATTCGATTAAACATTGCCATATTAACCCACATTGTGCGACCTTTGAAAAAATCACACTTACTAATACGATCCAATAAGCGTTTCGTATTATTACCTAAATTATAAAATATTTGATATCATAATTTAAAATACAAATTAATAATAAATAATTAATTACAAATGTTAGAAAACAATACATATATATGTTTTAAAATGATTAAAGTAAATAAAAAAATATTTTTTAAACAAGGAAAAGTCTAAAAATTATTTTATTCGGTAATTTTTTCGAAAAAAATTTATTTATTATTTTATGCATTAATGTTTTTTCCTTTTTGTTTATTTGTTTACTTATTTCCTTATTTAATTAATTTTTCTTTTTTATTTTTGTTTATTTATTTATTTATTTCCTACCAGTCCAACAATCATTGATTGTTTTATTTGTGCCAAATATAATTTCCATTGCTTTCAAGGCACTTTCACGTACTCTCTTGCGCCAAATGTAATTATTTTCAACCAAATTAATTGATGGATTAATTTCTTCATTTAGCCAATGCAAATAGTCCAATTCATTTTCTGTTAATCTCTGATAATAATTAATTAATTAATACTTTAATTTTATATTTCTTAAGTGATGGATAAGTTATTAATTTGTCAATAATACAATTGCTAATTACTCTAAAAAAGTAATTATCAAACTATTTTATGCTGATTACATAAAGATCAAAAATTGTTATAATTATGATCACAAAAAAAAGATTAAGCAAAATAATTTATTGATAATATCTGATTTATTCCTTAATTAAAAGAATCAAATAATTAATTAATTTTTCTTGAATAAAAAAAAAAAAAATTTTCTTTTTTTAATACTTTTTGCAATAAAATTAAAAAATAAATTAAACTTAACAATTGCACCGCTTGTTTTTGTACGAAATGCTTCTCTCACTTCACAATTTTGCATCAATTGTAGCAATCCTTTATAATGTTGATAATCTTCCATTCGTTTAATAAAATTTTTTTTATTTTTCTGCAAGTAATAATTTTTATTATAATAATTATTTACATTATAATAATTTCAAAATATTTTATTATTTATTAAATTCAAAAACCTTTCGTTCTTTATCCATTTTTCGCCGAATTTTCTTCACGTCAGACATTTGCACCTTATTTAAATGATACATAATCATAAGTTGATCTTTTACTTCATCCATTTCAAAATTCATTTCAATCTAAAAATTTTTTTTTAATATTACATAAATTTATTTTAAAATTTATTATTTATTAAAAAGATATGATTATTATAATTATATTTCTTACATAAGAAACACTTACTTTTTCTTCTGTTTTATTATCATCCAAATTATTTCGTTTATTGCTTAATTCCTCCTGAAATTATAAAAAAAAAAAAAAAAATTAAAAATTGCGCAAAATTTTCAAGTTCTTTTTAAAATTACCATTCATTATTATATTGTATTTTGAATTAAAAGTTAGTTTTTCATTTAAAAAAAACAATTTTGATCTTTTATTATGATAGTCTAACTCAAATATTAAAACTTAATAATTAGAGTACAACAATGACAATTAAAATTAAATTAACTTTTCCAAATTACTTATTCGATATATTTCATTTGCAAAATGCAATTTAATAAATTTATATAATTAATTAATTTATTCATTTGTAATTATCATATTTAATTTATAAGAAATGAATGTAAATAATCTTTATGTAAATTTTTTTTATCTTATTTCTTACTTCTATCAGTATTTAATGCATTAAATTTAATCATAAAAAATTTTAAAATAATTATCAAAAAATAAATAAATAAATAAAGACGTACGTAACGTGTCTCTAATTCATTTATTCTTTCATTAATTAGCATTCTAGTTTCCTGGAATGCATTACCAAATTTTGATTTTTGTTTAAACCAATTTTGATTTATCATAGTTTTGCTACGTGAAGCATCATCGATGATAAGTTGTTGAAATTGTTTTTCCATTTTCAATTAATCAGTTATTGCTTTGCTATAAATAAAAATAATTATTAATACTTAAATTTTACTAATAATAAATAATTAAATTAATAATTAAAAAAAAGAAAAAAGAACTGTTTTTAAAATATTAATTAAAATTCAATTATAATATCCTAAACTGTTTAAATATTAATTTAACAATTATATAAATTGAATTATTTATGTTAATGTGGAGAAAATAAACTTTTTCACTTTTTTTATTATTAAACTTAAAATTTATTATTTATTAAATTTGTATACAAAAAACAAAAACAAACAAAAAAGAATTGTTTTGTTTTTTAATTTAAGCAGGAAAAAAAGTACGAATCAACCGTTTAGAGGAATGAGAATGATGGGAAAATGATAGCTAAAATAATCCATAATGATGTTTTGTTTTCTTTTTTTTTTTTTATAACTGTGATTACTTTCTATTACTTAGGTATAATGTGACCTTTGACATTCTTTTTTTCTCTGATTACTATTTATTATCATAGACTATTTTATTGATTGCATATTGTCAAACAGATTTACTTATAGTAGTAAATCAATGCAAAAAAAAGGAAAAAAAAAATGTAAATTTCTAATTTTATTTACTATTTTGTTTACTGATTTGTTTACTTTTCATCACTTATTGATGATAAAAATTATTATTTGAATTTTCATTTAAAAAATTTCAATTACGTAGTAAGTAACCATAATAATTACGGATTATATTAAAATATTTTATCTATTTTGTGTTAGATAAACAAAAATAAAATTGAATTTTGCTTAATTATAATTAATTTTTAAATTGGATATAAAAGAAAATTTTTTGATCTTTAATAAATTTAAATTTATTTACTGTGATTTTTTTTTTTTGAAAAAGTATTAGCAAAAATTTTTTAAAGATGTTTTTTCCATTCTTTGCTGAATAGCTAATTGACCTTCAATTATCTACTTTTCTTTTGCTAAAAGTATGACAAAAGATAAACTGTTTTCTTGACATGAAAGGAAAAAAAAAACTATCTAAAGGTCATAGGATAATAATACATGTTGACCTCGGGTAAATTCAAAAAGATGATTGAATTGATGGACACTTTTTCATAAATGGCTAAAATCAAATTATGTCAACAAAGCAGATGTATTTTTTGAAAATATTCTGAGATCAAAAATCTCTCTGCAATTAATCTTCTTCTTCTTCTTCAGTTGACCTATGACCCCTCATTTATCCAAATTAATCAAAACATATTTTACTAAATGAATGGAATGTGAAATAAAATGTTGAAAAGAAATATTAAAACTATGAATGATATATTGAATTTTATATTTGTACGTATTAAACGTTGTTGCGTTATTGACGTACGTTAAGCGTAAGTAATAAAAATTTCCATTCAATTGATCAAATATTGCAAACAATGGTAGAATTTATTGTAATAACTTTTAGAATAAAAAACATGAAACATTTAAATTTATGAAAGATTTAGAAATGCTAAATCATTAATTCAAAAAAAAATGACAATTTAAAAAAAAAAAAGAAGAAATGATAAATATAATTCATAAATTTAACTATTTTTTATTAATATCATTATTATTGATGGTTTCAGCGGTGGTTGATATAACTACACCGTATGGTAAACATGATGGTGGTGTTTCGGTACCAGAATATGGATGTTCCGGATCATGATCTAATGGTTCATTAGGTGAAATTCGATTTTTCTGTAAATATTATTTTCGGCAAATTTCATTTTTATACATTTATAAATTTGTCTAACAGAAATGATTTGTTTTAAAAGTAATAAAAGTATTAAAATTGAGAAAAACAAAAATAATATTTTAAATAATTGTGATAGATTATATTAAAATTGTGATAAATTATATATTAAAATAGATTATATTAAAAGTATTAAAACTTTATTTCCTTTTTTCCCATTTTTGTCTTTTATATTCTTCATCAGATGAAATTCGATTTTTTTTTTTTTTTGTAATATTATTTTCGGCAAATTTCATTTTTATACATTTATAAATTTGTCTAACAGAAATGATTTGTTTTAAAAGTATTAAAATTGAAGTTTTTTTGTCTGTTTGTTTATTTTTTTTTATTATTTATTTAAAAAAAAAATAATTATTATTTAATTAATTTAATTTATACCTTAGCAATATGTTTAAGTAAGAAATAAATATATCCATAATCTGGTATACTAGCATATTGTAAATTATCAATGTATTGCATAATCATTCGATAATGCGGTAATGGACAACCATCGAGGAGTAAATTTATGCCATCTAATTCACGACTTTGCTCTTTCATTAGCATAATCATATCACGATCTTGATTCTAAAATTATTAAAAAATTTTCTATTAATCATTTTTTAAAATAAAATAAAAAAAAAGATTTAATAAAAGAACAAAAGAAAGTTTTATTATTATTTGATTTAAAAAAAAATAGAATTAATTGTATTAATTAAATATTATATAATATTCAGATTTATTTTATGCAAAATTAATATAATTTGTTTGAAGAATTATGATTAAATTAAATTTATTTTATTTTTGTTTTATCGCTATTCTTCTTTTTTTAATTTTTAAAATGTTTTTTAAAATAGAAATTATATTTGTGTATATTTAAAATGTTTTCTAAATTAAAAATTAAAATTTTTTTTTAAGTTACAAATTATATTTGTAATTTAAATTAAATTTCTTACTTTTAATTTACGCCATGGTAGAGTACCTACTGTCCATTCGACAATCATATAAAACCATGATTCGATGTCATCTTTTGGTGATTGTTCCTGTTTTCTGTGACTGCATAATGATGCATAACGTGGTGTACCACGAAATGGTGCAGATTTACGTGGAATACGACAATCTTTGTCACGTGTACTGAAATTAAACAAAATTACTTCTTAAAAATTAAATAATTTTTAATTAACACTACTTTATGCAAAATTGATTCAAAAAAAAAAAAAAAACTAAATAACTTTAATTAATACTTCATTTATTTTCTTAAAATTTAACTTTTTCTTATTTTTTTGGATTTAAAAAAAAGAGCCAAAATTTTTAATAAATTTTTTTATTAAAAAAAAAAAAGAAAACAAACGCAAATTGTCGAGCAAGACCAAAATCAAAGATATAAACAATATGAGAATCATTTGTTTCTGGACGACCAATGCCAAAATTTGATGGCTTAACATCACGATGAAGAAATCCAATGGAATGCATATCCTAAATAAATAAAATTAAATTTTAATATAAAAAAAAATGAAAATACTTTATTGAAATAAATAAATGAAAAAAAGAGCTAAATTTGAATTGAAAATAAAATTTGAAATAATAAAACTTAGAATAATAAATCAATCAGTAAACATAGGTAATTTAAAAAACAAATCAAAAAACATTTCAAATAGTTATTTATTTTATATCAATGATATTTCATATATACTGTAAATAAACAAATAATTAGCCAAATTAAGTTAAGATAAGCTAAATTAAGCCAAATTAAAATTAAATTATCATACTTACCTGTAATGCTTCTAAAGATTGTTGTGCAAATCGTAATGCTGTTCCAAGTGAGAAATGATTTTTTTCGTGTGATATTCGTAATGTATGCAAACTTGGACCCAACTATAATTTTATTTATTCATTCGCTTTTTTTTCTTAATTATTTTTTTTAAATTTAAATGATAACAAAGTATTATTACAAATAGTTAACAGTCTAATCAAAATTAAAATGCTTAAATGATTTATTTACTGATTCATTTTTTGTCGTTCTTTTTGTTTCTCTTTTTTTTTTCAATTTATTTTGCTAAGTGAAATGATAATAAAATATTACTGTAAGCAATTAATAGTCTAATATGAATGTTTATTAATAAAATTAAAATGTTTAAATGATTTGTTTACTGATTCGTTTTTTGTTTTTGTCTTTGTTTTCAAATTATTTTACTAAGTGAAATGATAATAAATTATTAAATAAAATAAAAATAAAATATCACTGTAAACAGTTAATAGTCTAATTAATTAAATAATGAATGCTAATTAATAAAATTAAAATGTTTAAATGATAACAATATTGCTTTTTTTAAATTTTTAAAAATTTATTAATTAAGAAAAAATATAAATTTTACCATTGTAATAATAATGAAACGAAATTTTCCTTCTACTTTACCAAGTTCAAAAATTTTACAAAAATGTGAACTTTTCAGTATTTCAGCACCACGTAAGACAAGACAATCCATTAAAAGAACCTCAAAAAAAAAGAAATCAATTAAATTCAATTATTTTGAATAATTTACTTTACATTAAAAGTTATCATTATTGATTTCTTTTTGTACTTTTTAAATCTAAGTTATTACTTTTGTTAAAAGATTTTACTTACCTTACGTGAATGTCCGTATGATTCTAATTTAGCAGCGTACATTTTATTATCAATTGATGATTGTACTTGAAAGACAGCGCCAAAGCCACCTTTACCAAGAAGTTTGATCACCTGTTTATGCAGTATAAAATATGGCTATAAAAGTTTGTTTCACAAAATAAAAATTAAATAAAAGTAAAATTTTTACGAGTAAAAAGGTTTTTTTTTTTTTGAAAGTTAAAGAATTTTGAAACAATTCTTTTAACAGTTAAAAATATTTTAATTAATTATGTACCAATTATGATTTTCTATGTTTACAAATAATAATTTTATTTATTTATATCACTGATAATAATTTAATGTTAATATTTTATCTTTTAAATTATTTATTTCTAATTTGCAATTGCTAAACAATTATTTAATTTTCTAATTTCAATAAACTGTGATGAAAATTAGATAAGTTAATGATTAACCTGATAATTAGCAATTTTTCCTTGAAAACTTGAACCTTCTTTTGGAAAATCTTTTAGTGATAATGCTTGTTTACGATCATGATAAGCTAGCAACATCGAATGATAACAAAAAATTCGTTTGATAAGGTTTAACCGTCCGCCCGCTTCAAATGATAATAATGAGAATAGTGAAATTTAGTAATTCATTTTTCTTTTTTAACTTTTATTTTCAACGCTTTCTCTTTTACAACTATATTTACGTATGCAATTGTTATCACGCAAACGTGTACTCAAATTTTACGCTTAAATTTTTATCAGTACAATATCATCTCAAATTGATTATCATCGAAACTAATTAACTTAGCCATTTGTCTCTCTTTTCTTATCACTTGTTACTATAACCAAGTGATAATTTAGCTATCAGTTGATTTCGATTTAAATTTTCGATTTATTTCTTTTCCTAATTTTGATTTAATTTTTTTCAAATATTATTTCTTTACTTACTCCTATTCATCTCTTTTTTATACTGATAATCTTTGTAACTTCTAGCATTTTCCTGAAATTATCAGTAGAGCTATGGAAGCTATCACAATTTTCCGAATGATAAAAATGATTTAAGTAAACAAAAAACTGAAATTAAATTTGAAATAGAGAAAAAAGTAAATAATTATTTGAATTTTTGTATAAAAATGCAAAAAACAGAAATAATTAATATAATTATTTGAAAGCGATTAGATTTGAAATTTCAAATTCTCCAATTTAAGTTACTTAATTATTCAGTTAACTATTAATTATCCAATTCTAACATTAATTTCAAAAAGAAAATTTTCATTTTTTTCTTGCAAAGTGTAAAATTAATCTTTAAATCAAAATTTTTAAAACATTTTTTTTAACAAAAAAGGGAAAAAAAATGATAAAAATAAAAACATTGAAAAATAAAAAATTGAAATGAATCGAAATGCAATTTAAATTTTAACATTTCCATTTCAAATTTCAAAAAAAAAAAAAATTAAAATTAGTTGCAGCAAAAGAAAAAGCTCAAAAAAAATTGATATTAAAATGACAAAACAAGTTTTGAAGTACCATTTTTTTAAATAAATAAAAATCAATTCATGATGAATTATTTTTTGTATAAATATTTTTTTAATAAAGTATATTTGCCATCGTTTCCTCTTTTGAACAATTATTATCATTTTTTTTTCAAACTGATAAATATTAATTTTTGAATTCAAAATATTTAAATATATTTTTTAAAGTGAAAATAAAAGTATTATCGTCAAACTTCGCCTTTTTTTTGATTTTTTTTTATATTTTAAATTTATAAATTTAACAAATGTTTTTGTGATATTTTTTAATATCTTTGTTTTGCTAAAAGTTATGATAAAGTTTAAAAAAAGATAATTGCACTGATAACTATTAGCAATACTAAAGTTTTTTTTATATAAAAAGTTTTTTTTTTATAAAAATTATGGCACCAATTTTAATAAAGTTAGTCATAAAATTCAAAAAAAAAATTTGATAAATTAAATGTTTGATTTTATCAAATGTCAACGAATTTTTTTTTAATTTTTTTTTTTTAAAATGATTGATTAGAATTAACAAAAATGCTATATACATGTGAAATTAAAATATATGAAATTAAATGCATTGAATTAAAATTAATCGTAAATTATGTTTATGCTTTTCAAATATTAATTGATGTAATTTTAATTTTAATTAAACTAATTTTCTTAATATTTATTTTATGAAATTATTGAAATTTTATTTCAGACAAAGTTTGAAATTAAATCAAAAAAAAAAGTGCAATAATTAATGAAATATTTTAATCCGAAATTATTAAAAGCTTATGAATGATTAAAGAAACGAAACAAAAAACATTTCTGATTTCCGTTTAGTGAAAGAAAAAAGAAACATTAATACGGCTTCCGGAATTTATCGGATACTATTTTGAAGCACCAAACAGGATACGATCATAGGATTAGCCTAACAATAACGATTATAATATGTTTAATATTTTTGATAATTTATTTTTTTTTGAAATTGAAATAAATTTAAAAATTTATAAAATAAAACTATCAAAATTTATCAAATTAATTAGTAATATAAAATAAATGTAAGTGAAAATTTTTATTAATTTTGTATACCTCAGTATTTTTTAAATTTTTTTTAAAAAATTTTTTTTTCATTTAAAATTTTTTCCATTCCTCTTCAATGCTAATTAAAATATTAAAATTTGCAATTAGAAATTAAATTTTTAATAAAAAAATTTTTTTCGTCTTTTATCAACGATTAAATTATATGCATCTAAAAATTTGATCATAAATTTTTCATTTCATTTGATTGATCAATTTTATTAATTATACAATCAATTTTATGATTTTATTTATAATTAACGAAATTTTTTTAAATAATTTTTTTTAATCAGTTTTTTTAATCAAATAAATTTTTATTTTACTTCATTTTCACATCTATTTTATAAATTTATACAAATTTTTGACCTTGTAATGGAATAGATTAGTGATTTAAATATTTTATGCGCAAATGTAATCCTTTATAATAAATAATGTTAGATGACAATTAAAATGGAAAAAAAAAAGTTTAACTATTTTAATTTATATAAAATGACAAAATTTTCCTCAACAAATATTTATTTCTTTATTTTCTTTTTCTTTTAAATTAATTTAATTTTTCGCATTTGTTTATTTAAATTAAAAAATTTTATCATTCATTTATAAAATGTACTTATAAATGAAAAAATCAAAAAAAAAATTTAAATTAAAAAAAAAAAAATTTCAGAAATACGATGTAAATCTAACGTTCACTAATAAATTGCTATCCCGCATAATCATACTTTAATTGATAACACAATCATACTCTTATCATTATTATCATAACCAGTGGTGATAAACAATATGGTTATCATTATAATATGTTCTGATAAGCAAATTATCATGTTATTTTATATCCTTATCACTATAATGCAAAAATTACTGTATAATATCTAATTTTTTTATCAATAATATTTTATTTAACACAATCAATAAACAAGAAAATATGTTTAGCTAATAGAATTCAAAATATTAATTCATAATTTAAGTAAGAATTTAAATTTGCATAATTTATGATAAATTTATGCATTATACTTTTTTTATAAATTTTTGCTTACTACGCTAAAAAAAATTCTTTACGCACTGATATAATTATAAATTTCAAATTTAGCATATTATATAAAATATCAAATGCAAATTTAATAATTAACACTTTATTTTAAATTAATTTTTTATTTAAAATTTAAAAACTCTTTCGTATATTTCACATTTTAGTTTACTCATTAACAAAACTTTCATGCCATTGCATGCATGCAAGTATTACTACATGAAACCGAATATAATTAATTAGTTATTAGTTCAAAGATATCTTAGTAATTAATTTTAGGATAATTTTTTTTTTTGTTTATCAGTTTGTGATTAATACTTAGAAAGTTATTTTTACCTGAAATATCACGATAAGATCACATTTTTTTATCATTAATTACGTAAAAAAAATAAAAAAATTAACTATATTGTAAAGCTGCTAGAAATTGAAATTAATTTCAACAATAATTGTATGTCAACGTTAGCAAAATATAATCAGCGTGTTTCACGTAAGCAAGATGTCACGTGAATTATTGCCCTTTATATAAAATAAAATGCTACTTTTAATAGTTTATAATTTGTTGAAATTTTACAAAATAATTATATGACGTAAGTAAGATATTTAACATTTTATCTAAATTCACTATTTGTAAGTTTTGTAATTTTTGAAATTATTTTAATTGAACACAATTTGAAAAAATGTATTATGCAGAATACAATGATTTTACTTCGATCATAGATCAGAGATTTTATAAATATTTCTAGAAATTTCCTTTTCAAAATTTTCTAGAAATTTCATTTTCAACAAAAAAAAAAGTACCCATTTTTTACATTAATTTTGAATGTTCAATGATATACAAAGTATTAATGTCATATTTACAAATATGCAATTACCTAGTTAATTAATTAATTAATTAATTAATCATAATATTTACATAAATAAAAAAACAGATCACAAATCAAAGCATTCATAACAATGCCTTCCTTTCCAACTCAAACATTCCATACATCGATCATATAATGGCTGAAAGAAGTAAAATTTATTTCTCAAATTAAAATTGTAAAAAAAAAAGAGAAAAGAAAAGGATTCATTAAATTTTTTTTAAAACAAAAAAACAAAAAATGAGAGTAATAAATAAAATATTCCAAAGAAAAAGATAGAAAATTAAAAAGTTCATTCTAATTCATTTTTTTTTTCTCAAAAATTTATAAATTAATCATATGAAAATTAAAATAAAAAAAAAAAAGGAATTAAACAAACCCTTCCTTTTGCTAAATCACAAAACCAATGACATTCATGTATCCAATCTTTACAAATTGTACGAAAACATCGTTTTATCATTAAATCAAGCTATAAAAAAATATGATAAAAGTTTTTTTCGAGGTCAAAGGTTAATTTGAGAGTTGAAAGTAAGCAAAATAAGTTAAATTAATAATATTTCTTTTTCGTACAACATAAAATTACATAAAAATATGCATCATTTTTAATAAAATTATATAAATGGAACTCTTTTCAAAAAAAAAAAGAAAGGCGAAATAATAATAAAAAGTTAAATTAAGCATATCAAAATTTTCATTTGTTGTCATATATATGCGCATTTGTCCGTGTAACATGTATAAATAGACGATATATAGATTAATGTCCTTCAAAAAATTCTTTATACTTCAAAATTTTCAAAAAAAAAAATTCAAAAAAAAAAATGAAAAATAAATTGGATAATATAAAGGTGAAATAGCAATTTACAAATTGTGATAACACACTGATAATTTTTATCACTTTTTTCCTTTCTCATTTGTTTTAAAAAAATATAAAATGAAACGCCACGTGAAAACGAAATTAAATCTTTCACGGAGAGTTCCGTGAAAGATTTGAATTTGAACAAATTAAATAAACATTATTTGTTAAATAATGTATGCATTAATTCAAATTTAAATTTTATGTGTTACAAAGATTATTTTTTGAAGGTTAAAAATTTAAATTAT